ATATATATATATATATATATATTTGCATTGTTATGCGGTTGCTAAGGTGTTTGGTGTGGTTGCTTAGTGGGCCAAGTCCACCCTTCTATATTATTCAAGTCAAGAATTGTTTTTATCATCCATCAGGTTAAAGTTGTATTGGTGAAAGCAACAATTATGTTATAATGTATGTGGGAAAATGTGCTTTATATTCAACAAGTTAATTCTAAGGCCGTATGACAAATACGATATTGTAGTTTATGTTGCATTCTTATATTATTTAGTGTATTGTTTTCGTGTCGTGTGTTACCGTGATGGTGGTTTGTTCTGTCTTTCGGCCATTCTTACCTCAGTTGCTGATAGGCCAGGATCTGTCTGTGCTGTTATCAGGACATTTTACTGTAACCAACAGAATAATAGCTCACATATTTTGACATATATCACCATTGTATAATTCTATTACAATATTCCACGAAATACCTAATCCTGGTTTTGTCTGTCACTGGTCAAAAAATCTAAACCAGGGGTGCCCAAACTCGGTCCTGGAGGGCTGGTGTCCTGCAGAGTTTAGCTCCAACTTGCCTCAACACACCTGCCTTTACGTTTCTAGTATGCCTAGTGAGAGCTTGATTATCTGCTTCAGGTGTGTTTAATTGGGGTTGGAGCTAAACTCTTCAGGACACCGGCCCTCCAGGACCGAGTTTGGACACCCCTTATCTAAACAATCGACCTTCATCCATCCGGGAAGTCGATCTCCAAGTCGCGTACTGTGTAGAACGTGGAATACGTCAGAAGTTTGAATAGCTAATTGGCGCCATCTAACGGATATATGATATAGTAAATGACCTGGAGAGATTACTTAATTATTTTACACTGAACATACATTTTGATTTGTATGAACGAAACATCGGTTGGCGGGGGAAACAACAAAAAACAGCGAATCGCAAAGATGCACGGATAAAAATAACTTAACTTAGATCAATTTAATTGGAATCAAAATTAATAATGATATAAAAATGTAGGCTATATTGTAATAGGTTCTGTAAATCAATATTTATATACAGTATATTAATTTATTTGGCATGAGTAGCCGTGTAATAAGCAGAATAATGAATGGTCAGGCGGCCAATATCGCAATCTTATTTATTTAGCGATTATGAACGACTGAATATATCGACACATACGCTTAATACATTTACAATACAGTCAACAATATCCCTCACTTAATGTTTGTGACATCCCTACTATATTTTAACGATTAAGTTCCGGGTTCTGGAAATGATTTTA